AAAGAAACAAATCCTCTTACATTTTAAACTGAGTGTCTGTGGAAAGGTTATGAACTATAATTAATTGTTCATAAGCTTATTATCCCACTTCAAAAAGCCTGAACTATGCTTTAAATCTAAACAAGTGTTTTTATTACTTGCCTGACCCATAAAGGCTCAGTCTTGTGATTTTTAGATCTAAACATACAAATATAGCATCTCAGTCAAAGTTCAGGACATACTCAGTCCATGCTCAATAATCCAGGTATACAATCCAACATTTTTCAGTCAGGTCATCAGGACAGTTTCTTTTTTTGTGTGTGTGTGTGTGTGCTGAAACATTTCACCATCCATCCAGAAGGCTTCATCAGTCAAGGAAACACACAACACAAAACTGATTCTTCCCCCAACAGTTTACTCCAAAGTGGAACAAACCAGTTATGTTGGTGCTAAGATGGTCTCTTTGGCACACCCCCTCCTCCGATGCCGGCCCTCTTCCTCTTCAACAGTCATGTCAAACTGGTTCAAAACAACGTTTCAGCACAAAAAAAAAGAAACTGTCCAGATGACCTGACTGAAAAATATTGGATTGTATACCTGGATTATTGAGCATGAACTTAGTTGTTTTGAACCAGTTTGACATGACTGTCAATGAGGAAGAGGGCTGGCAACAGAGGAGGGGGCGTGCCAAAGAGACCATCTTAGCACCAACATAACTGGTTTGTTCCACTTTGGAGTAAACTGTTGGGGGAAGAATCAGTTTTGTGTGTTTCCTTGACTGATGAAGCCTTCTGGATGGAAGGTGAAACATTTCAGAAAAAAAAAAAAAGAAACTGTCCAGATGACCTGACTGAAAAAATGTTCAGGACATACAGCAATCCTGAGTGAAAATCCTGCTTTGTGTTCTGTTGGACTGAATTTGATCAATTAATAGCATTTTTGAATTGAAAAAGAATCATTCTGTTCAAGCATATATTAAAACCTACAAAAAACTGGCTGCTTTTTAGAAACATTCACCAAATTTACTCCTTTAAATAAGGCTGTCTAAAGAGTTCAAGGTAGCATAATACAGGCTGGTATGTACCTGGTACTTCTGGGGTATATGTCTAGTATGTACCTGATGCATCCCTTATAAATGCCAGGCTATATATTTAGCTGTGTTGTTGCAGGAAAGTCATTTTGTTGCCTATCCAGTCCAACTAGTTTTTTGTTGTGTTTTTTTTCCCTAAAACTCATAAACACAGTAACTGTAAAGTATTCTTATTCCTATTCTTTTTCTTTTGGCTTTTCCCTCTTCAGAGGTCGCCACAGTGCTTCATCCTCCTCCATCTCACTGTCCTGTACATCTGCTGTCCTCACTACAACTACATCCATGTCCTCTCTAACTGCATCTATGTCTCCTCTTTGTCTTTTTCCTGGCAGCTGCATTTCTAACATCCTTCTAACAATATACCCACTGTCCCTCCTCTAGACATGTCCAAACATCTCAGTCTGCCCTCTATAACTTTATCTCCCAGTTCTTCAACTTGTGCTGTACCTCTGATGATTTCGTTCCTAATCTTATCCATCCTTGTCACTCATAAGGAGAACCTCAACATCTTCATTTCTGCCACTTCCAGTTCTTGCTCCTGTCTTTTTGTCAATGCCACTGTCTCCAGACCATACAATATAGCTGGTCTCACCACTGTCTTGTAAACTTTTCCTTTGACCTTTGCTGACACCCTTTAGTCACAAATCACTCCTGAAACTTTTCTCCATCCACTCCATTCTACCTGGACTCTCTTCTTCACCTCTTTACCCCACTCCACTTTTTCCTGGATAGTGGACCGACCCAAAGTACTTGAAGTCCTGCACCTTTGTGACCTCTGCTCCTTGTAGCCTCACTGTTCCACCTGTCTCTCTCTCATTCACACACATGTACTCTGTCTTACTATGTCTGACTGTCCTTCCTCTTCTTTCAAGTGCATACCTCCACCTCTCCAAGTTCTCTTCCACCTGTTCCCTGTTCTCACCACAGATCACAATGTCATCTGCAAACATTATCGTCCATGGGGATTCCTGCCTGACCTCATCTGTTAGTCGATCCATAACCAGAGCAAACAAGAAGGGGCTCAGAGATGATCCTTAATGCACTCCTACCTCCACCTTGAAGCTATCTGTGACTCCTACAGCACATCTCACCACTGTCCTGCTGTCCTCATAAATATCCTGTACCAGTCTAACATACTTCTCTTCCACTCCAGATTTCCTCATGCAATACCACACCTCCTCCCTCGGCACCCTGTCATATGCTTTTTCTAAATCCACAAAAAACACAATGGAGTTCTTTCTGATGCTCTCTGTACTTCTCCTTTAGCATCCTCAAAGCAAATATTGGTAACTGTAATAAAGTAATTACTTTAAATCTTTATATAGTACAATTGGTATGTGCCCCTTGCCAGTTCTTTAAGCAATCTAGATACTAATGTGGGTCATTCACAATGCCTTACAAATTGTATGTTAAGTGTACAATAGTAACAGCCGCATATTTTTGATCAATTGTGCTTGATTAAATTATTAAAAGCCCTTCTATAAAAGAGATTTTCAGAGAAATACTGATGGAGCATGTCTATTTTTAAAAGTTTACCAAGAGAAAGCATCTTCTCTTGAAAACAAACAGAGCAGCACAGAATGGGTTTGCACAGATGCATCTGAACAAACTGCAAGACTTTTGGAAGAACGCCTTTTGGCCAGACGAGAACAAAGTGGAAATGTTTGGCAAGACTGCACAGCACTGCTTTTGGTTAAAAATAAATAAATGAATAAAATTAAAACAAACAAAAAAAAACCAGCATATCAGCACAACTACTTTATAGCAAATGGGTAATAAAAGCAGATGAATAAGAGGTCTACTCAAGATTAAGATTAGGGTTTTCTTCTTAAAAGTCTAATATTCACATCAACATAAAACAATAGCTGAAATCTAAAGTAAAAACTGTCAAAGCTCAGTCCACTTCATTAACTTTTAACAGATTTAGTGTTGTAACAACAACAAACAAAAATCCACTTTGGCCACACATTTATGTTTACATCAAGTCAGCAGTTTATCAGCAGAGTTTCAGGGTTTTTCTTTTCTGGATTAACAACACATCAGACCAAGAAATCTACCTTGGTGACAAGAGTTTAAATAGGATGGGAAAAATCATCTGGACTGTGTGCTCTCTTTAGTCAGAAAAGTCTTTCACCGGCTCTAACGTGCACTCTAAGACTCTTTATTTGATAAGCCATTCTGTCAACTCAGCAAGTTGCACATATGTCACAAACCCATACAATCTATTTATCTTACTCTCTGAATTTGATCTACTTTGAGTGAAGTCGTGGACAAACCGTACTGTCAGAGAGGCTATTGTTACATCTGCATTACATTCAATTACCTCATACAGTTAATTAGGCTTCTGCTCCTGTCTCAGGTCTCAGTAACACACAGTTATGATAATTAGCTGGTGGTAGACTCTTCCTGCAGGTCTGTGTGTGTGTGTTAGCGTAAAATAGACTGGCCTGCCGATTACTGAGTGTTATTTAGCAGACTTTATTATCTGGCACTTTGCATATCTCTCAAGATTTTATCATCATACTCTTATTGAAATAACTTTCATTTAGCTGTCACTTAAACATTTAGCCCCAAAATTCAAAGAAGACTTGACACTTGGAATTTCCTGTGACAGAGGGAGCGTGGAGGAAGATAAAGGGTTGCGCTGTCTCCTTGATTTATGGATTTCATAAAGCCTAACCCCCTCTGCTGCCATCCGACTCACCATTCTTCCCCGAACGCACTGAGCTCTCACAACAATGGGGTAGCTTTGGTTCTTGTCAGTGCAGCATGCGTGTACATACCCACATAGACACACAGCAGGGTCAGAGCTTCGGTTCTGTCAGCACAGCCTCCCACTGAGCTCAGAGCAGCACCTCAGCTATCACACTGTAAAGTAAACCCTAATGGGGCTCCATCGCGCATTCGTGTGCACATCCTCACTGACACGAGCTTGCACACTCTTCAGCCTGACAGCTTATTTGCAATCCTGTGTTCTGATTCATTCTGCTGATCTCGTTCACCTCGCATAAAAGAATGAATTTGACCTGCAAATGTTTCGGTTAACCCGAGCAAACAAAGATACAAGGGAAGCAGCTTATGAATGCACCGAGGACGTGGAGTCTTGTTATAGAATTCAGAACCCCAGCCTACCCTGCACTATCCCCATCCACATCATCATTTGACAGGCAGCAGCATATAACACACAGGTCTGCGTGTCAGCAACACCGATTTGATTGCTCTGCTGTAGGGACAGATGTGGCACTGTAGGATAGACGTGCACTTTGTCTGAGTCGAAAGCACCGAGCGTCAGCACTGTTAGGTCCGATGCTGCCAACGACCCACCCAGTCCCAAGTTATTTTCCCTCTGCTTTTTATGGCTTCAGCATCATGCCCATTTTACAATCTCTTCTCTTCCTACATCCTCAGGGTAGATGGTAATCCTTTCAGAACAACATGTATACAAACCCATTTGGCAGCTTCAGCAGTGTGCCTCCCTCACAGAGGAGACACAGAAGCTAATTCAATCATTGAGTGGGTACTTATAACATCACCCGGGGATTAAATCCTATGCCTTTATGACTGTATGGTTTATAGGCAGAGTGTTAATGATGCATTTGGTAATAAACCTTATCAGATAAGATTTTAGGCCAGCAATTTTAAACCTATGTCACCTTGGGGAAGGATGAGAAGTACCTAGCATGTGTCACCCAGCATCCCAGGTATTTTCAGCTTCTTTGCAAACATTTTTAAACTGGCTGGTCCTCTGTGATAAAACAATTATTGTAATGGTTTTCACTCTCTCTACTGGACTCACAGGTTTAGCCGTTCCTTCTTGTCTCTGTTCCCACTCCTGCATCTGAAAAGCATCAATGAGATGAATGCTTGGGATTGTTAAACGTTAATCTTTTGTTTCTTTTTTCTAAACTTCTACTCTTCTCACCCTTCACAGCCCCCTTCTCCCCTCTTGGCAGTGAGACGGTAGTAAAGTTTGACTCCCAGGGGGACGGCATGGGCAGATACAACATCTTCAGCTATCAGCGCTCCGGTGAACGTTACGGTTACGTGCCAGTAGGCGAGTGGGCAGAGAGTCTGAGTCTAAACAACGAGCTGATTCACTGGCCCAGAGAGGTGGCGCCGACCTCGCAGTGCAGCGATCCCTGTGAACGTAATGAGATGAAGAAAATGCAGGCAGGTAGGGGAAGACATTTGAGCTGGTTTTGTTTGCCAAAGCAACACACCAATCTGTAATGTGATTTTCAAAAAAGAACAGATGCACTCTCATTTATTTCTGTTTTCCAGGTGAGTACTGCTGCTGGATCTGTACAGCGTGTGAGCCTCATGAATACCTGGCTGATGAGTTCACCTGCTCACCCTGCGCTCCTGGTCAGTGGCCCACTGATGACCTCACATCCTGTTACGACCTTCCAGAGGACTACATCATGTGGGAAGATGCATGGGCCATTGGTCCAATTACCATCGCCTGTGTAGGGTGAGTGGAAAATAATCCATTGCATCAGATTAATTAAACTGTGCACACAAAACTTCTAAAAGACACTATTCTGTTTTCAGTTTAACAAGCGATACGTCATTGTCAAGGTTCACTAAAGTGCAAAAGATGGATAAATTCTTATTTCCAGGATTAATGACTTCTAAATGAACCATCAAACGCCAGCTGGATGTTGGAATTTGTAGACAGTCCCTAAATCCTTGTTGCACTTCCAGTCTTGTGTTTTCTTATTTTTCCTCATCCACACCTAAAGTAAAATAAGCTAAACACAACAAATTCATTCACATTTTCATAAAACTAGGCAATGGACTTTGGAAGCCTCCCTCACTAACTGACTCCAAATCAAGTATTTTATGTCTTAAGCATGTACCGTATTTTGTTTCCTTAACTTTCAGTGCATTTGATTTCTATAAAACTAAATATAAAAAAAAATATATAGAATAGAAAACAGGTTGATTTATACATGATCAAACAAAAATTCTGAAGTATGTGTTTAGATACCATGAAACTTCAATGCATACAAAGCATAGAGCTTTCACAATATTTTGTTTCCATGGAAATTAAATTTCAAACAGAACATAAGCAGCCTGTTGTCATCCCTGACTGTTTGTGGGTGCACATCTCCTCTGTCTGCAGTTTTATGTGCACCGGCCTGGTGTTCTGGGTATTCGTCAGACACAACAACACCCCCTTGGTGAAAGCATCCGGCAGGGAGCTCTGCTACATTCTCCTCTCTGGAGTCTTCATGTCCTACGCCATGACATTCCTCTTCTTGGCCAAACCCTCTCCTGCTATATGCGCTCTGCGCCGCCTCGGCCTGGGCACATCGTTTGCCGTGTGCTACTCCGCTCTGCTCACCAAAACCAACAGAATCGCCAGAATTTTTAATGGTGTGAAAGATGGAGCAGGCGCAGTGAGGCCACGCTTCATTAGCCCATCTTCTCAGGTGAGCGAGGGGAACGATCCGTCCATCAATCTGCATCACCCAGATGGACGGATAGATTGATAAGCAGGATCTCTGACCTGACTTGTCTATTTTTCCTTCCTTGTCAGGTGTTCATCTGTCTGAGTCTGATCTCCGTCCAGTTGGTGACAGTCTCAGTGTGGCTGCTGCTGGAGGTCCCCGGGACGCGGCGCTTTACGTTGCCAGAACGAAGACAGACTGTCATCCTCAAGTGTAATGTACGTGACTCCAGCATGCTGCTGTCGCTGGGATATGATGTGCTCCTGGTCATCTTGTGTACTGTGTAAGCGTTTCCATTATTTAAATAGCAATCATTATTGCATTAAAAAAAATCAGAAATGCTGCCTTCTGTGCAGGATGTAGATATTCTCTCATATAAATTTGGTGCTTTTTGTTGCCAGGTATGCCTTCAAGACCAGAAAGTGCCCTGAGAACTTCAATGAGGCCAAGTTTATTGGGTTCACCATGTACACAACTTGTATAATTTGGCTGGCCTTTCTTCCTATCTTCTACGTTACATCTAGTGACTACAGGGTATTTTTTTTCTACACATATAAATACATGCAAAAATACTTGATGTCACAGTGATGCTTGTATGCTGTTGTATGCTAAACAGTTTAGTTTTAGTAACCAAAGTATCTGAGTGAAGGTTTGTGAGATACAACAGGATTGTTAGTGTGTTGTAATTTAAAGTCAGAGTTTGTAACCAAAACATTAATTTTAAACAAAATATGTTAATGATTTACTGAAGAAGTATTATTGAATTCAAGTTAAAAAATCTAATACTCCAAAATATTAACATAAAGATACTGTCTAAGTTCAAATAAAATAATATTCTTATTCTCAAAAATCCTTTTACATCCAAAAAATTTAAATAATTAAGTTGGATTCTGGGGGGAAAACTGGAATAAGAAAACATTTTTTGTTGTAAATATTTATGTAGCATATTTAAGTTTGCAAAGTGTAATTTGATGTGACTGTACAAGCATAAAATACAGCAAGCAATCGTATGTATGGGAAGTTTTGTCAACTGGTGGCTCCTGGGCCACATCCGACCCACCAGCTTGTTCCATCTGTCCCACAAATGTTTTATTAATAGTCATTTATGCAAAACCTGATTCATGAAACAGCCATAGCCCATCTTATAAAAGGTTATTGATGACTGATATCACAAAACAAGATCAGGACCAGCTCAGATGCTGAAACACGACAGCAGATAGCATGATGTTAACTCAGTAAGATCAGAGAACAGCGTCACTGCCAGAGCCCTGAGGTTCAGTCTCATTTTAGCTATTTTTACTGAATTAATTCATATTGCCTCACTTGGCATTTATTGTAGTTTGACTTGTTCCATTTTAAATTTCTGTCAACAAAGTTTCCTGATCGAAAAGGAAAACCTGAAAATGTTAATATTTTTAATACATATTAGGAAGGAGCATCTATTTAGAACAAAAGAAGCAGAAATAACTAAAACAGGCCATAATTATAACGAAATAGGCTAAAATGTTCATTATTTAGCATTTAATGTTTGTACTCAAGGATTTTTTTCCTTCCATTAAATGTGCAAGTTCATTCTGGAAAGTGGTTTGATTGAAAGACATGCTTCTTTTTCTTTTCTATTTTTTAACTCTCTTGATATGACACCATATTGTTTTAAACTGTTACTCAGTAAAAACTCTGCATAAGCTAAAGTTTGTGTGGAGTTAAAATAAATGCCTCACTGTAACGTTAAGGAATGCATTTTTAAAGCAGCATCTTCCTCTTGGGGTTGATAAAAGCACACAGGCAACAAAACGGTGAATAAACAAGTGCAGAGGCAACTTCATCTTATTTCTAATCCTTTTGGCTTATGTCCCAACTCTGCAGTTCTGAGGTGACAAACAGGCTCAAAGTGCTGACACATGTCCAAATTTAACAGCAAAGGGGAATAAGTGTTCTCCTGAACCGAATAAATCCCAAGTGTTCACCTGCACACGTCGAACACACGTGCTCACAAAGACAGTGTTTCATAAAATATAAGCAATACTTGCTGCTGATGCCTTTTTGTCTGTTTTTCTGTCTCTTCTTCCCAGAATAACAATTTCCCTTCTAAGAAATCTTACTTTAAGATTAGTCTGATACAGGCACAATATCCCCAACATGCAAACCCACCCACTCACATAATTATTTGCATAAATATAAAAACTTGAATGGCTGATTACTGTTTTATGTGCTCGGCTGTACTGTGATTTCACTTTGAGTTGCTGTAGGGCTGATGATTAGGGCTGGAATCAAACATGCAACAGACCCCTCTGCTGGCCTGTGATCAAGCGAGTAAGACAGCACTTAGGATTGATTTATACAATGAATTACACAACGGAGTTAAAGCTAGCAGAGAGAGTCTGGTAGGTTTGGCTTCTGTGGTCGCTGTTGATTGAGTCCTTTATTGATCAGTTCTGTAATTGTTATTCTCAGGACTGTTAAAAGGTAAAGAGGTCTGAAAACAAAGGGTTGTACTCTCACTTTATTTGCCTCATTGGTTAAATGCGAGCACGTAGGGCTCAGACACTCCAGCATCTCTCTTAAGCTGCCTTTTTCATGATTTGTTTTCAACAAAATGACAATATCCTATTTAAAGAAGACTGTTTTAAATAAAATCAATAGCCAATTTAAAATGTGTTATCTTAAATCGCATCTTCAAATTTGTTTTTAACGGCAGCTAAATTAGGCGTAGACTAAATTAAGCTTTGCCAGTTCAAGTCTGGCGACTGATTGCTTTCTTTCTGTGATTTTTCCGCAGGTTCAGACCACTACCATGTGTATCTCAGTCAGTCTGAGTGGCTTTGTGGTGCTGGGCTGTATGTTTGCCCCAAAAGTTCATATCATCATGTTTCAGCCTCAGAAGAATGTGACGAGCCACAGGCTGAACCTCAATCGTTTCAGTGTCAGCGGGGCTGCCACCACATATGCATCTCATGGTAGGCTGCATGGAGCTAGCTTTTTTTTTTTTTTAAGAAACATCAGTTTCCTCTGACAGATCTGTTTACTTGGTTATTAATTTTCTGTTCTCGCTAAAACATGTTTAGAGCAGTGCTTATATTTAGAAGTAGACAGGTAAGTGGGTGCCAGGCCATTGGAGGCCACACACCTAGGATCAATTAGGAGTCACTAATTAACAAGATTCAGGATTTTTATAGACTGCGTGAGACAAATGGAGTACCCAGCAAAAATAAATAAATTTGAAAAATGCACGCACAAGGCGAACATGCAGCGATCACACAGAAAGGCCTCTGCACTTAACTGAGCTTGGACACATCTTGCTGCAAGGCTACAGTAAACAGCTGCCACCATGCAGCTGTTCTTGAAAAATATGTTCTCTTGAACTCTTAAAATGTCAGAGAGACAGTCTAGCACTTCAAAGCATGAATATGAGTTGTGTGAAACACAAACAGAAAGGCAAAACAAAAATGCTTGAGTTTATTTTAATATGGTTTGAAGGAAAATACAGTTTTTTAAATCCTCTATACATGTGCTGGTCTTAAATTTAGAATATCATGAAAAAGTTGATTTATTTCAGTAATTCCATTCAAAAAGTGAAACTTGTATATTATATTAATTCATTACACACAGACTGATATATTTCAAATGTTTATTTATTTTAATGTTGATTATTACAACTGACAACGAATGAAAACCACAAATTCAGTATCTCAGAAAATTAGAATATTGTGAAAATGTTCAATGAAGACACCTGGTTCCACACGCTAATCAGCTAATTAACTCAAAACACCTGCAAAGGCCTTTAAATGGTCTCAGTCTAGTTCTGTGGGCTACACAATCATGGGGAAGACTGCTGACTTGACAGTTGTCCAAAAGACGACCACTGACACCTTGCACAAGGAGGGCAAGACACAAAAGGTCATTGCTAAAGAGACTGGCTGTTCACAGAGCTCTGTGTCCAAGCACATTAATAGAGAGGTGAAGGGAAGGAAATGATGTGGTAGAAAAAAGTGTACAAGCAATAGGGATAACTGCACCCTGGAGAGGATGGTGAAACAAAACCCATTCCAAAATGTGGGGGAGAGTCACAAAGGGTGGACTGCAGCTGAAGTTAGTTCTTCCAGAACCACCACGCACAGACGTATGCAAGACATGGGGTTCAGCTGTCAAATTCCTTGTGTCAAGCCACTCTTGAACAAGAGACAGCATCAGAAGTGTCATGCCTGGGACTGCTGCTGAGTGGTCCAAAGTTATGTTCTCTGATGAAGGTAAATTTTGCATTTCCTTTGGCAATCAAGGTCCCAGAGTCTGGAGGAAGAGAGGAGAGGCACAGAATCCATGTTGCTTGAGGTCCAGTGTCAAGTTTCCACAGTCAGTGATGGTTTGGGGTGTTGGTCCACTGTGTTTTCTGAGGTCCAATGTCAACGCAGCCGTCTACCAGGAAGTTTTAGAGCACTTCATGCTTCGTGCTGCTGACCAACTTTATGGAAATGCAGATTTCGTTTTCTTTTTTTTCTTTTTTTTTTTTAAAAACAGATTTCGTTTTCCAAAAGGACTTGGCACCTGCACACAGTGCCAAAGCTACCAGTACCTGGTTTAAGGACCATGGTATCCTTGTTCTTAATTGGCCAGCAAACTCACCTGACCTTAACCCCATAGAAAATCTATGGGGTATTGTGAAGAGGAAGATGTGATACACCAGAACGACAACTCAGAAGAGCTGAAGGCCACTATCAGAGCAACCTGGGCTCTCATAACACCTGAGCAGTGACACAGACTGATCGACTCCATGCCACGTCACATTGCTGCAGTAATCCAGGCAAAAGGAGCCACAACTAAGTATTGAGTGCTGTATATACTTATACTTTTCATGTTCATACTTTTCATGTTCATACTTTTCATGTTCATACTTTTCATGTTCATACTTTTCAGATGGCCAACATGTCTAAATAAAAAAATAAAAAATTAATTGGTCTTAAGTAATATTCTAATTTTCTGAGATACTGAATTTGGGGTTTTCATTAGTTGTCAGTTATAATCATCAACATTAAAATAAATAAACATTTGAAATATATCAGTCTGTGTGTAATGAATGAATATAATGTACAAGTTTCACTTTTTTTAATGGAATTACTGAAATAAATCAACTTTTTCATGAAATTTTAATTTTATAACCAGCACCTGTACTGTGTATTTACAAAAACAATTTACATATCATAAAAGCTACTTCTTCAGGTAAATTCAGTTTATACGTCAGTGCTGTGTAGGACTCCACCAGCAGGCCAGCTTTAGCTCAACCTTAATGCTGCTCCTCAGATATGGTTTCATGTCAATGTGCTGCTTTTTCAGACAAGAAGTTTTAAATTAGCCTCTTAAATTCCTTCAGATTGGGCCTTTGTATCAGTTGTTCTCAACTAGAATTTCTTAATTGCTCATCAGATAGTGATAATTAGACTTTGATATCTGTTGTAGCCTTTTAGACACTAATTAGCCTCATTTTCAGACTCTCACAATGCAGGTCATGGTTGTTTAGTCAGAGTTTTTTTTTTCTGCTCTGGAGTTGTCATCAGTGAAAAAGATACGACTGACTCATTTAAAATTTTAGTGTTGCATATATTATTACTTTGAGGCATACTTGTCCAAATAAAGTTTAATGAGCCAAAATCAGTTTGTGGCAACATACTGCGTTTTAATTATATAAAGGTTGCCAAGTAAATGTAAGATAGTCATTTTGAAAACATACATTCGTTTTTTTCATACAAAACAAAATACAAATTATTGCACAACAAAATGAAAGATGATGTTAATAAAATCAGAAAAGGCCATGCTTTTAGAAGTACAGTGGTCTTCTTTAATAGAAAAACTAAGGGTAGTTCTACTTTTTGTAAGAATGTCAACATATGTTGGCTACAGTGAAACCTGATATACCCCACACCCCATCTCAATCACAACAGCATTGTGGCAACAAACCTCCCTCAGTGCATTCTTCTATATGCTAACTGGAGAATCTAAACATCAGCAACAAAACACATTATGTTGAAATATACATTAAAATTACATTGAAGTGTGGTTCTATGGAAATGGTATTAAAGATTAATATCTTACCTGCTATAGATAACTCATCAGACAACTTCAAATTGGTTAAATTCTAACCAAACTAACGAGCTAATGGCTGAAAAAAAAAAAAAATAAATAGAAGAACAAAGTCAGATTGCTGCCACCTTAAATCAGCTCGTCTCCAAATTTTTACAGTGGATCATTCAAATGCTATTTCATAAACATTTGAGCTGCCATCAGCTTTACGTTGCATGAGTATTGCATTAAAATACGATATTTTCAATAGAAGTGACTCAGGCTGCTGTCCCAGATGTGTAACTGTTTTTATTTGGGTTTGGAAATCACAATAATATTCCATGTAAATGACTATTGTGCAAACTAACAACAATGTAAGGTAATTTATGTAGTTTATAAAGACACATTATCATGAACTACTCCATACTTTTGAGTTGTTTTTGTTTTTTTAACGCAGCAGCAATACAGTTTGGTCTCGGCCTCTCCTATAGTTGAACTGAAGCAGTTAGCTTCTCTGTCTGATCAGGAAAATAAAATGTTTTCTCCTAATTTCTAATTGAAGACGTTCAAAAAATCTACAGCAGGTAAGATAGTAGCAGTTAATACATTTAAACAGAATTCACAATATCTATCATTTTTGTATGCTGCAGGTGCCAAATTATTTATTTTTGTTGGATATCCTTTCTATCCAAGTGACAACAACTTGGTATAATTTTGATGGGTTTTAGATTTTCTTTCTCTCTTTTACTTTATTTTTTTTAACTGACCTCAACTTTGATAAAAATAAAACACACATATAAATCTCCATGCCCATGTTTTCATGCATTTGTCTTTTTACCCTTTCGTTTCTTCTTTTCCAGCTTCTGTCAGCTCTCACTTCGTCCCGACAGTTTGCAATGGGAGAGAAGTTGTCGACTCCACCACTTCCTCTCTGTGACGACGTCCGTTTCGCTCTCCTAAACCGGCCCCCCCTGCGACTGTTAGCCAAATGACGAACTTCACTTCCTAAAGCTTTGTTTTCCCTCCTCGTGCAAACACACACGAACATGAACATACAGTACGTACACACACAAAATAAGTGAACAACTTCCTCGTGGACTAGAACTGTAATTGTTTTACAATTGTAGAAAGTGTGTAAGTATAATTAAATTATTTTCTAGGAATGTAAATACATGGAATTGACATTGTTGTACGTAGAGTAAACAAAAGAACAAAAAAAAAGTTTTTAGGAAGAAAATTTTTGCAGCCTTTGTTTTTGATAGATTTGTTTTGATGTAAATAGAAAGAAGCTGAAACCTGGTGGTGGTGGGCGGGGGGTGGGGGGTGGGGGGGTGTTGGGATGGGGACGTGTCCCTCGAGTCTGAATGCCCACTTGTGGCTCTGCTTGCCTCGCTGCAAAACCCACAGAGTTTTTGATTCTCATGCTGTTTTGTAGTTCTCATTGTAACAATGTATGCATTTCTAAGGCGTTTCTGTACAGTTGTATATTCTACTGATGGTTCAAACAGCACAATGTTAACATTCTTGTAACACTGGAATGAATGTGGACAAAACAAAAACTTGAAGGATCGACGGAAGGTTCATCAAACTCATTTCACTTTGAGAATTTATCTTATTACATCTTAATAGATGTGTGTTGCATTCTGGGTCTTTATAACAACCTACTATGGCTGTTTTAGCAGGAAAAAACTGTTTTTGCTTTTGATACAAATGTTCCTTTTTTGTTTCGTTTTCTAATTCTAATGATGGAATCCCTTTATCTAAATGGCCATAACTCCAGACATGTGTTCAACAAAGCAACGCTGTTTCACTCCCACTCTTAAACTCTCTGAAAGACTGCTGCGATGCATCACTAATAATACCTAATAGCTGGACTGAAAAGGTACAGCACAATAAATGTTTTTTATTATTATGATCATTATTTTTAGCCTTGGAAGAACAAGAACAAATCACTTTCTCACTCAGTAATTATGAACTTTATGTACTCAAATGTTAATGGAAGAAAATGGTTTGTTTTGTTGAACACAAGTTGAGTTTTTTCCAGCTCTGGGGGAGTAGTAGCTTATAATATGTGCCCCGTAGAAACCATATGTGGTAATATTTTAAACATGGCTATGTGCCTTAATGTATGTTCAATAGGTTGATGTTGTTTGAGGTCAGTTTTACACGCAGCTCCGAGTTTTTATTTGGAAGTACTCGCTTCAGGACAGCAGGGTGGCAGTTTTCTTTCATATGAAGCCTTGTGCCATTGATTGTAAACCTGAAGTACTGGAGCAGTGAGTCTGAGGAACCATTTGCTTCTGTTGACTTCCCCCATCTGTAGATTTTTAGTGTGCGGGTGTGGCTCAGTTTGTTTGTACCCTTTTGTTAAAGGAGAAACAAGTAATATTAACAATTATAAAATGACTTGAAACGGACAAAAGTAATATTAAGAGGGGGGAAAATACTTTGGAAAAAAAAAAAACAACAAATGAAAATGTCTTTTGAATTGTGTCTCAACTGAACCATTAAAAAAAGAAACTGTTCTTAGAATGATTATATTCTGGAAAATACTGATAATTTGTCCACATGGACATGTGTGTCCTGTAATTAGCATTGCAAACGTCCTTAGTGTTGCAATCAGTCAGTCTTCATTTTAAAACGGTGAAAAGTAGTCACTATGCTGTTGGGCAGGGGTGGGCAACATTTTATTACAAAGGGCCAAATCAAGATATTTAAAGTAATCAAAGGGCCAAATGGAAAATTGAAAGAAAAAAATTAAGACCAATAATCTGGAAGATTTGTTGTTTTTAGGCTTTTTAATGTTGTAGGATAGTTAGCATGCTTGAAATATGTTTCTCCCATTCCCTGTAGGAATATAAGACACACTTGCTCTAAACTGGCTCTTGTGACAATATATTAGCCTATAAAAAATAAAGTTATGTTGCTTTTAGGAGTCTTAAAGTTTACTTGAGGAAACAAATTTAAAAAAAGTATTTTAGCCTTAGACGTGTCCTTGTCCAACATGTTTATTTAAACTTCTTTAAATTTCAATTATAAAACTTTTTTTAATCAACTTTTTTAAAAGCTGATTTGTCTTTAATTAAGATGTTTGGGGGCCTGATGGAGATTGTCTAAGGGTCACTTTTGGCCCTCCGGCCACATTATGCCCACATGTGCTGTTGGGTATGACGGTGTGCCACAGTGAACATGGACAGAAAGCTAAGGAGAGTGTTGCCTCAGAAGTGTAGAAAGTTTATTATTAACAAGCTTGATAATGGTAAAAGCTATAAGCAGCTTGATGTTCCTGAAACTACAGTTGAGCTTGTTTTTAGAAGTTTAAGGAAATAAAATAAAAAACTATACCTAAAGTGAACCATGGAGGAGGCTCGGTGATGCTCTGGGCTGCTTTGCTGCACACGTTGTCTTGAACGCAGGGTACGATTTGATCTTAATACCAAGGCATTGTGGAGCAAAGTGTACTGCCAGAGTCAAAAACTTGGTCTCAGTCGCTGGTCGTAGATCCTCCAACAGGATATTGACTCAAAACAGCCAAAAACAACCCCCAAGAAAGGCTAAGAACAAAACATGGGACTATTTTTAAATGGCTCTCTGACTCCTGACCTAGATCCTATTGAACAACTGTGGGAGGAGAAGAAACATGCAGTCTAAAGTAGCAGTGGGCCAAAATATCTGTAGACACGTGCTGAAGTCAGTTTCAAGCCATTTCAGCGACCATCGTTGGGTTTTTCATTCTTTAACAGAAGAGTACAAACACACACACCTGCACCCTATCATTCATTTTACTTGTTATATTTCAGCAGCTCCTGTAAAAAAAAAAAAATTAAAATGGGGGAGAGAAGCGTATATATTATTCAGAGAAAGTCTGTGACTCGTTGACTCATTCAAGTGTTCAGTGTACATCCCTGTATTAAATGTGTTGATGTTGGGAGGCACAGTGGAGCAGCTGGCTGTGGCAGTCCCAGAGAGGCTCGGGAGATGAGGCAGCACACACACCGTCAGCTGCTGGCACATCCCAGCTAACAAAACATCTTTGACTAGAACAGTTCTGCACAGTACAAACAAAATTAATCAACGCATCCCTACATATGAAACTGGGCGACGTTACAGACTTTCTTTGGATTTATGAGACGGTGAAGTAAATGGAAAGTATATATTAATTTAGCTAACGTAGCCTAAAACAGTGGAATAATTTAGCAAATTTTATTTGAAAGGTTTAAACCATGCAAATATATTTTTTAATTAGGATAGGAATTTATCAATGAACTGATCTTAAATGTTTACATATTACAAGCTGTCTAAAAATAAAGTGTGACTGTTATATTTGATGTTTTCAACAAGACGTGTGACCAGATTTACATTTTTTGAAAGCAGTTGAACAGTACAATTTACAAACTAGACGTGGGCAGAATTCTTAAAAAGTTTCATCTTTTGACTGGTCAACATGTTTGCACAGCCGCCCTCTGGCAGCCTCTTGTGATTATTGCATCTGATGACAGATTCAAAGGGTTTCAGAGGATGCGTGGAGACGAGCCGACCTACATCGGGATGTGTATGTTAGGTGCAGGGACAGCAGGCGAGAGCGATAGGATGGGGTATTATATAAAGCTCTCGGCCCAGGAATCGCAGCGCCTCTATGGAAGCACAAAGTATCTCAGAGATTCACGCTGTTTGTTAGAAGCCTTAGCCATTCATTCAGTGGTCCTGCTCCCACAAGATACACCCTGCATGGCAGGTTGCTACGGACAACCACCAGCTCTCCTTCCACTGCGGGAATGTCTATTTGTCTGCTTGAAGAGAAGAGGGTGAGGAGAGGCCGAGGATAGAGAAAAAGAAAGAGGAAAAGCGGGTTGATGGTTCTGGTCCAAACTGGCAGCGAGGGATGAGACTTGGCTCAGCAGGGCCCTGTACTCACGGCCTTTTAATGGCCTCACAAACAGAGCACTTAACCCCGATTCTCTGCTCATTTAGCCCAGAGACTAGTCCGAGACAGGAGTCTCACACTCTTCTCTTGCAAGCCACCTCACCCTTCAACCTTTCCCTCACCACCTTTGTGCACCCCATCTCCACTCTATGTGTGAAACTTGTGATGGGGTCGGTCTCAGCCAAGACCACCTAAGCCAGAGCAACAGGCTGGTAGCTCACACTTGAACCGAAGCGCCTGGATCTGGGTGCCCACTGAAGCACATGCCATCAAGGCTTTCTCAAGGAAGTTAGAAAGAGATGAAAGGATGCCGGACAAAGGACGTGAACGCTGAATGGGAAAAATTAATTGGAAAGTCAGATGCAAAGAAATTGCTGTACTTTAAATCGCATCACCTTTCCAAAATTATCATCTCATGCACAACTGCATCTGGAATCTTCTCTAATTGGTTTTACCCATGAATATCCTTTTCAAGCAGCCACCCAATGAGGATTTGGTTCCTCTAGTTAGACTGTGCCAACTGTCATGTGCTTTACAAAGATCCCTGTGCTGTAGCCCCTTCTATAAAGCAGAACGTGTCCTTGGCCTCTGGGCTTTGAAATAAAAAAAGATCTCTGCAGATGAAATGAATCCGAGGTTGATTTGAACTCTGAAACCAGCCAGACACAAAGCAATAGCTCCTGTGTTTATGAAATGTGCAATAATGAGGCTGTGACGACATCTTAATAAAGTCCATGAAGCAAACAGCTGTGGGTGTCTGCTCATCCTTGCATCTGCTGTGCACAGAAAAAGAAGTGCTGCAGTGGATCTTTAAAGCTCAGCCACCATCTAAATGTTGAATATAAGTTTAGATGGGCAAGTCTCTCCTGCAGCACCATCACATTCTCTCACACACGCACGCAAACACACAGGCTCTATTCATAGTGTGTGTTGGCAAACGTTTAAAGATGGCTCGAACACTTTGCCTCATCTGTTCACTAAGTGATGGTACTCCAATTAAACCATCTTCTGAAGTGCTTCCTGCTTCAGGACAACGGATGTTTTTCAGACCTCAGTGTGCTGGATGGTAGCAATAATTAAAATAAAAACATTAGGTCAGAAG